GGGCTCGGCTTGCTTCTACTAGCGGACAGCACAGTGAAGGACGACAGTAAGCTGTGGATGTTCAGCCACCTCACCATGCAGGAAGCGCTGGCTGCTCGCTACATTGCCATGCGCAAGGCAACAACACTCGACCGTGTCGTCCAGCTGGTGGAATCCCTGGGTCCGGGAACTAGCCACTTACAGACATTCTGGATGCTGCTGGCGGCCCAGTTGGACGAGGAGAAAGCCGACTGCTTAATCAACGGGCTGCTCACGCGACAAAAGGAAAAGGCCAGCCGACAACACAACTGGGCTGACCCAGATGATGAAGGGGATGACACACGCAATGCACCGGCAATGAACGTCTTCCCAATGACCCTGCTTGAGCCACTCACCGCACTAGACGACTTCGGGATAAGTCGCCTTGCCGATGAGCTACTTTCTGATCAGCTCTCTGGAAGCAGTGGTGAAAGATACGTGGAGAATCGTACCAAGTACGGTCGAGCTGCTACCGGTGAAGAATTCCTCAGGACAATGTTGCAGACCTGGGTGGAACGTTGCCCGGATGCATCGCCAGCCACACTGACCGCAGCTCTTCAACGTATGGGCAAAGCTGGCCTTGCAGAACGCCTGACTGCCGACATGCCTGATGAGCCAATGCCTAGGAAGAAGAGTCGCCATCACAAGGACATCAGGTCATCTTCGTATGGACATGTACCGCCTCTCCCAGTGCTGTGCTATGCGGAGCACGCCCGTCATCACAAGAAGGACGGCCGTCAGATGTCCAGTCTGATGGCGGCATTTCAGTGCATGACGGTGGAAATCAACAGCTACACTCATCCGGCCATTGCCCGTGCCTACGACTTCGCCATAGACGTCCACGCCAATAGCGTGTGGCATGTGTACATTCATAACCTGCAACTCAACCCACCAACACAACTACCGGAATGCCTGCTTAAGTGCACTAACATCAACAGCCTTCTCGTCCGAGGAGGTACGGTACAGCGGCAGCAGATTATAGCCATCATTAAGTCATCTCACAAATCCTTGAAGAGCGTTAACCTGACGCGTTGTACCTTCACCGAGAGTGGCCCAGGAACCTCGTCACATCCGGCTGCTGCTGCTGAACGATGCCAGGACCCGCTCACAGGATCCCCGCCACCCACAGACGGCAGTTCTGCTTCACTGCTGGTCAATGCTCTCGCCGATTTTCCTTACTTGCGGGTTTTGAACCTTATATACTGCACCAAGTTGAATGCCGACTCATTCGTCCAAGCGCTGCGCAACTCTCCGCGTCTAACCTCACTCACGATCCGGTCCAGCCGCTCATCCCAATCGCTCATCGAACTGGCGTCGAACATATCCGTTGCATGGAAACAGCTGACAGAGCTCGAAATCGCTTTCGACCCGCTGGACACGGTCACGGACGGTGAAGTCGATGCACTCTTAGAGGCAGTTAATGCGCACGACACACTGCAAAAGATCCAAGTGAACATCGGTACCACCGCAGTCGCTACGCCATCCACCATCTCTAACGCTCTACGCCTTTGGGCGAGGGACTCATACAAGAGTGGTCTTCTAATCTCCGGTACATTTAGTGAAGAGTCCTCAAGGCCCTGTTGAGACCTTCACTCTGCTACATGCGCACATGCCAAACTTCCCAGCCGGGAACACTGTCGTCATCACTGACTTTATGAGTGATGGATGGTGGAGACAAACATCCACAGCATGCAGTGTATGCAGAAATATCCTTCTGCCGAGCCAGAGAGCCAGAGAGCCAGAGAGAGAGAGAGAGAGAGAGAGAGAGAGAGAGAGAGAGAGAGAGAGAGAGAGAGAGAGAGAGAGAGAGAGAGAGAGAGAGAGAGAGAGAGAGAGAGAGAGAGAGAGAGAGAGAGACAGAGAGAGACAGAGAGAGACAGAGAGACAGAGAAAGAGAGAGAGAGAGAGAGAGAGAGAGAGAGAGAGAGAGAGAGAGAGAGACAGAGAGAGACAGAGAGAGACAGAGAGAGACAGAGAGAGACAGAGAGAGACAGAGAGAGACAGAGAGACAGAGAGACAGAGAGACAGAGAGACAGAGACAGAGACAGAGAGAGAGAGAGACAGAGAGAGAGAGACAGAGAGAGAGAGAGAGACAGAGAGAGAGAGACAGAGAGAGAGAGACAGAGAGAGAGAGAGAGAGAGAGAGAGAGAGAGAGAGAGAGAGAGAGAGAGAGAGAGAGAGAGAGAGAGAGAGAGAGAGAGAGAGAGAGAGAGAGAGAGATAGAGAGAGAGAGAGAGAGAGAGACAGAGAGAGAGAGAGAGAGAGAGAGAGAGACTACTTCGCTTGTGCAATGGTGCGGCAAATGGCACGCATTCTGGCGTTTGTAGACTGCTAGTCCGCCAGCTCTCCGGAATTAGAGGTGACCTACAGTGCATTGTCTGCCACTGACCAGCGACGCACTTGCTGCTCTCACGGAGACAATCATGTGTGATTCTGCAGGCCACTTGGCAAAACTGTTTTGACACAGATGCATCCCTGTACTTTGTCATATGATGAGGACAGCTGTGGTGAACCAGCAGTGAACACCCAATGCCAGTTGCCTCCCTATTGCGCAACGCTGCATATTTAGAGGCGTTAGTGTCCATTAGAAAATCCGCTTACGCATGCTGTACACTTAGTGCCCATCAGAAAATCCGCTGACTCACCCATGACATCATTCCCATAACCTCTATGCTATACCAATTCTTTCTGTTTTGAAGTAATCGCAACTTCAGCCCTCCTGTCCTTGTTACTAAATTCTTCCAATTATTCTCTCCCGCCCGTCCCACCCGCCTGTGTGGATTCACAGGAAGTGTGAGACACGAAGTCTGAGGAGGGCGTTGAACGGCCGCTGCTGGGATGACGGCTACACCTTAGCTCATTGGTTAGAGTATCGCTGGCCTGAAGCGAAGGTCCCTCCTGGTGGGGCCAGTCAAACCTTTTCTTCAGACTTTTTCCGGTTGTGTTTTTCCCTCAAACCAGTGAATTATTCTATCCCTTGATATTCTCGCAGGTTCTGTATACTGTATAACACATTATTGGAAATGGATAGCACATCTCCTTTCCCTTGAGGTTTAGCAGCATTACCAATATATTTTTACAAATTGGCGCTCAGTTCTCATACATTATGTAGTCAGCTGCTGACACTGCTATGACTTCCACTGTGATTCTCTATCATCCTGCATTATTGCTGGCTAGGCCGTCGGTACTATTTCCCATGCTGTCTTGGCACGGTTGCAATATGATTTGGTGCTGCAATCTAATGTTACATCATTGCTGTTTCTTGCTGCCATCGTAGCGCTGGATTGACTTCCGTTGTTTCTGTTACGCTTATCTTCTTTACCCTGTGCCTGGGTGTACACCAACTCTCGCACACCGTGACAATTTTATGTCTCAAGATACGACTGGCGTTGTTGCTCTTTGCTCTCTTTCTGGAGCTGTGAATGCACATGGTCACCGCACTCCCCAGTATAGTCTCTCCCGGCATTCCCATGTCCACTTCATGGCTGATGATGGTCACAACGATCAAAGTGTTGACTACTCACAAGTTTTTGATTTTGTGTGACATACACCATGTTGAGTGCTGACCAGTGTCACTGGCAACTGTAACACTCTCCGATTTGCAGCGAGAATTTGGCCAATTTCACTTGGAGCACTTGATGAGAGTATTCGTCTGTGTGTGTGTGTGTGTGTGTGTGTGTGCGTGTGTGCATAAGTGTGTACGTGTGTGCATAAGTGTGTACGTGTGTGCATAAGTGTGTGCGTGCGTGTGTGAGCGTAAGTGAGCTGACACATAAACATGGGCACGCATATGGTTGCCAGTACTGGCAGTAGTACATTTACGAAATTTAGCGGGGTCTGCGAAACCGCTGGATCCGCCCCTGAAGACAAAAGGCGGGCTAACGCCCCTACATGGCTACTTCCCCTTGTCTAACCCCCAAGACGAAAAATGATAGTAGCCGACTGGCCGAAATAAATAAATAAATAAAAAAGACATGTACTGTAAGACATGTTATTATAACGAGTCGCAAATTTAACGATTGTCCAAAATTCATAGGTTAACGAGAAGATATGTTAACGATCTTGCAGTATTCTGCCATATCCACACACAGCATATATGAAGCAGTACGGCCTCAACGGATCTTATTATAACGAAGAAATGTCATCCGTTAAAACGTTAGATTTGCTTCCTCGTTATATATACATGTCTTACAGTACACAGCATACTGAGCTGAGCCTCTTTGTGTCAAGAAGAGTACATCACCTGAGTCCTTACTCTTGGTGTCGACTACTACAGACATGTACAGGCGATTTTTTGCTACTCCCGGCTGGCTAGTAGTACAGTAGTACTAGTAGCACAAGCTTGGCTCCCAATAGAGAGTCGTAAGATTACGACTGCATGCGTTAGCATCAAGTAATTTTTAGTTCACTTGACTGTGCATATCCATACGGCCGGTAGTCCACAAACACTGGATACTTGCCACATGTGCTGTGCGTCAACTTACTAATAATTTTGACGGAAATCGAACAAGTGACCAGTTACACATTGTGATACTCATTATAGTACGTGCTTCCCCTAGCTGCATCTCATGTTTGGCATTTATGTGGTCTTTGTAAAAAAAATATAAAAAACTACGTATTAAATATAAAGAAGCCTTGCTTGGTAATTTAATATGTTTTTCGATTTTGACAGCATGTTACAAGGCGAGGACCGTCGCAAGACCGGGACTCTGCCAACCGGGTCATGGTTGTAGTCAGGAGCACTATGCGTCCTCGCCTTGTAAAATGCTCTCAAAATCGAAAAACAAAATACAATAATTATTGTCTCTTTCCCTCAAACCAGTTAATAATTATTGTAGCAGTAGCTTCTACATGGGACCCGCGGCATGCTTTCGACAACATGCTCATGCGGGTTATCCTACAGAAAATAAACTTTAATTAATTTTTTAATAACCAATAATAACCTTTAGCTAGTTTGTTTGCTAGAGAAAAGAAGACATAATTTTGGTACCAATAAACAGTTTTTTAAGAAATAGGAAATTGACTGATCAATGAAGATAGTTTGTTTGCCAGATAGAAGCCTAGAAGTTCTGGTAAAAAATGGATCAAATAAATGGCAATAATAGATGGGCTAAATTTCATTTTAGTCGAGGGCGGGGAAAGTCTGAAAAGTAGACATTGGATATTCAACCACTTGAAATGCACTCAGAAAGTGACAATGCCTGCTGCCTTGCAGCAGGCAAATTAGCATGTACATAATTCCTTATTACATAATTCCTAGTACGTTTTAAGGGCACTTGTAATATTAAGAGTAAGACTACATAACTCTTACAATGCTATCGTCAGCAGCCAGGATGAGTTTAGAAGCTTGCCGTATTCACGGTGACTTGTGAATAAATGTCACTTCAAACAGCAGAAGTTCTACATGCTATCACTTGAAGCGCATGCAACAAGCGAGTGTACCGTTAACAGCCGGGATGCTAATAGAAATACGAAGGCCGTGGCGCAGCGGCCACCCGACTTCAACCATCCACCAGAACTCGCTCCTTAGTCTGTCTACTCATTCTACCAGGAATTCGGCACATCTTCAGGTCACAGTGGTGTGCACAATAAAATGCATGCCTCGCCGATCAAGATTTAAGTTTAACATTCCAAAGAAGAAGAAAACACAGTGATTACAATGGTGAACTACGTTACTGTATACCGCTCATCAGAAAACATTACTATTATTTCAGTGACAAATTCGCAAACCCCGGTTGGAACAAGAAGAATACATTGCGCTCAAGGTGTTCTCACCCACATGCATGCGGTGCCTCCACAGCTGCCCGTTAACACGACGTTGACGTGCTCATCAGACCCATCGACGACGACGACGGCCTTCCCGCCGACGTTTCCATGGAAACCGACGACGGCGTCGCCGCCCGTCCATTGCCCGCCACCATGGAGCGGCCGGACGCCTGCAGGCTGGAGCTGATGCCACGACTCGCCCAGCTCTCCATCAGGTTATCGAGTCTGGGCACGAGGTCGATGAATGCTGGCCGATTCACCTGCTCGCGGTGCCAACAGAGCTCTATCAGCGATCGGTACTCTGGCGGGCAGTCGCTGGGTATGCTGGGACGACGGCCGGACACGATGGCCTCCACCAGGTCGCTGATCATGCGACAGTCGTCGTACTCGCTGAATGGTTCCTGCCGCGTGTACAGCTCCCACATCACTATGCCAAAGCTGCGTGTACAGCACAGTACAGAGTGACACACATACACATATGCGCACATACGCGCATACATACACAAAACACAAGTGCACGTGCGCGCACACACACATACACACACACACGCACACACACACAGGACACAAGAGCACAATGACGTGCCATAAAATCACCAGTAAGCACTCACTACAACTTACAAGCGGCCACCAATGCCTAACTTCACTTGGTAGCTTGTGCACTGCTGTGAGCTCCAATGCAGCATGGCTCATGCAATATTGTGATTTTTTTTTTTTTTACTATTGAACACTCACTGCATGATGAACTAAAATGAGGAGAAGAACTCGACACAATGGTACATATCCAGCAGGACGGAGTGGGTGGGACCTGTGAAGCTCAGCCGACCAAGGGTCTCGGCATCACAGCTGCACATGTGCACCAAAGGAAACAAAATGGGGAGTGGAAGGGCGGGGAGGGGAGCAGGAGAGCAAGAACTCTAAGGGTAGGAAAGAGAGGAGGGGTGGGGGGGGGGGGGGGGTAGGAAACCAGGAAACTTGTTATTCCAAGATATGAGTGCAAACAAGTACGCAAACAAGTACAAATATAGCAGTATCAAGATCATGATGCTGAGGCGAAAGTAGAGGCTGATTGCCGTGCAGATTTGACGAAAGATTAGAGTTAGAATGGAGGAGAGTTAGAGAGAGATAAAGACAGATGGATTGGGAGTTTGATGAGAAGGGAGTGCTCCGAGAACATGAACAGGGTCGTACTGGCAGTAGCCTAGGGGGCGATATCCGTGGCCAATGACCAACTCGACCGTTTCAGGTAGCGGTAGGTCTGAACCTTGAACTGCTGCATCCCTTTGGCAGACGGTGCATCGCGGAGGAGAGTGGCTGGCAGTTCATTCCAGGCTTCGATGAGGCACTCTGGGAAAGAGCGCAGCGCAACATTGCACGATCTGGCAGGTAGGGCTGTCTGGAGTTGAAGCTCGTGCGCAAGGTTGGCTGCCGTGCGGCGACGTGTGGCAGGCGCGATGGCGGGTGCGATGGCTCTGGCTGGACGTGTCGCTGCAAGAGCTGGCGGGCTTGTGATGTAATGGAGCTTGTACAGGGTTGTGAGGCCGGCCACACGGCGCCGCAGGGACAGAGTGTCCATTGCAGCCCCTGTCCCAATCAGGGTGAGGGCACGATGCTGGACTCGGTCCAGCTGTGAGAGATGGGTAGCCGCAGCTCCCATCCATACAAGTGGACAGTACTCCATTAGAGGCCGAATGAACCCCCGGTATGCTGTGGCCCGGCCCGGTGGGTCCAGGACATGGCACGCCTTCCGGAAGAAACCAATTCGCTGTGTGGCACGCACTGCAGTTCCTCGAAGATGCTCGGAGTAAGTTAGATGGGCATCAAACGTCACTCCAAGGAGCTTCAGCCGCGAGCATTCTGGGACCGCTGTGCCGTTGAACTTGATCGGTGGTGTCTCCCAGGGTCTGCGGTGGCGGGACACAGTCATGGCCTGTGATTTCGTTGGCTCAAAAGTGACGCGCCACTGATCACCCCATATGTCATGACTGTGCCGATACTGTACGGCTGTACTCCAACATACTAGTGTAGCAAGAAGGACCCACAAGTGTGTGTGTGTGTGTGTGTGTGTGTGTGTGTGTGTGTGTGTGATCCCCGGTGGCCTGATCGGTAGGGCACTGTCCCGGAGAGACAGGGGTGCTGGGTTCGAATCCCGCTCGTGGATCCTTCTTTTGCAACATTGGCGCCTGGCAATGGCTCGAACCCACGCCCACCCCCCACCCCCCTCCCACGAGTAGGTACGGCATGAGGACACAGCCTGTTGGGGCGGGGGACCAGTGTAGCAAGAAGGACCCAAGGGTGTGTGTGATCCCCGTTAGCCTAATCGGTAGGGCACTGTCCCGGAAAGACAGGGGTGCTGGGTTCAAATCCCGCTCGTGGATCCTTCTTTTGCAACACTAGTACCCACATACCGCACAGAGGTGTACAGGTGATGTGCCCACAGGTAGGAGGCTAGAGTAGGGTAATCCCTGATACTGGACTCACTACTGGGCCACAGTGTGTGAGCACACGGCACCGTCACACACTGTGACACAGGAGGGAAGTTTAGTCCGATGTACATGTAATCCGTGTGTACATGTACTTTACGTGTGTACTTTACGTGTGTACTTTACGTGCGTGTACCACGTGATACTCTTGTACTTGTACTTGTTGCTCACTGCCAAAACTGGTCACGTGGGTCTCCCCGGGAGAGGGGGAGAGAGACTCGTGATACTCAGTGACCCACGTACAGGCGTTTTCTGATTCACGACAAACCGTGTATGGAGGCTCACCCACGTTCCGCCAGAACGTGGGTGAAAATCAGAATGGAGCGCATCGTGCAAGCTGTGAGGGTGCTCAGCTGAAGAAATTCCGAAGCACGAAATCAAAATATTCGATGAGCGTCGTCTTTGACCGTCAAGTTTGGGCCTTTCGCTTCATGCTTTTGTTTGTTCCGTGTGACTAAAAACAACATTGCGAACGTGGGTCCACTGCAGGAACTTTACGTGTATCACCCACGTTCCCGTATCCGTTACGTGGGACTAAACCTCCCTTGTGACAGAACACTCGAAAGTCTCTTATTCGGACGCCTCAGATACGGGCACGTCTCTCTACCGGGCACCTTCAGCTGAAGTTCCTATGGCAAAATGCTTTTGAATTCGGGGGTTTGAACTTTTTTTCGCACACGCAAGTGCTTATTTGTCACTGCCAACCTGTGAAATGCACACATTTTATCAATGGATTCTTTTGTAACATGTACATGTGCAATACGTGGCAAATACACTTCTTCAAACAATGATATGATACATGGTAGATGAGTTATCCTGATATACGGGCAAATCTGAGATACGGGCAGTGCCCGGTCTCAAGGTGCCCGGATAAGAGACGTCCGAGTGTACCATGAGTGCAGAACGTATACCAGCCCTTGCCAGAGGTCCCCATGACCTTCACGTGTGTCAGGCTCCATTGCACCAGCCAGTCACTAGCTCGGCATTGTGCCTGTGGGGCTGTAGTGTGCTGCAGTGTGCTGTAGTGTGCTGCAGTGTGTCTGTGGGGTGCTGCAGTGTGCTGCAGTGTGCTGCAGTGTGCTGCAGTGGGGCTGTAGTGTGTCTGTGGGGCTGCAATGTGCCTGTGGGGCTGCAACGTGCTGCAGTGTGCTGTAGTGTGTCTGTGGGGCTGCAATGTGTCTGTGGGGCTGCAATGTGCCTGTGGGGCTGCAACGTGCTGCAGTGTGCTGTAGTGGGGCTGCAGTGTGCCTGTGGGGCTGTAGTGTGCTGCAGTGAGGCTGCAGTGTGCTGCAGTGTGCTGTACCCACCTGTAGACGTCGGTGCTGGAGCCGTACGCCTTGCGCTGTAGCAGCTCCGGTGAGCTCCAGGCAAACGTCCCCACCTCGGTGGAGAGATGCGCCCAGGAACGCAGCAACGGGTCGTCCTCGGTACTGCAGCAATGGCAACGGCAACGATAGCAACAACAACAACAACAACAACAACAACAACAACAACAACAACAACAACAACAACAACAACAACAACAACAACAACAACAACAACAACAACAACAACAACAACAACAACAGCAGCAGCAGCAGCAGCAGCAGCAGCAGCAAGAAAAACAAAAGGAAACAAGATATATGTACACATACTAAGATGCATACACACACACACACACACACACACACACACACACACACACACACACACACACACACACATCCACACATCCGTGCCTATGTGCAGAGATGTTCAGAGGGACAAACTCTTTGTTTTCAGTGGGCTCGCATTCTCAGCTATCTCTGGTCACAAGATACCGCACCGCCCTACCGCCCTACTCATTTTTTTTTCAATTTTACGATTTTTCAGGTCGCAGAACAAAAATGCGGCCACAAATCGATTGCTCCGGGTGCTCGCTGCGACTGTATGTTGCATTCTGTGTGACAAGACAAAAGTGGAACATGGAAAGAATGGGTGCACCGCTTGCTTCTAAATGCCCCCCCCCCCCCCCCCCCCCACACACCTCATTCTCTACAACTTTCTCCTGGTTAGAACACTGGTATTGCAGGTAGACACCATACACCGACATTGCACACTGGGCCGCTTAGCTAGTGCAGCATCCATACAGATGACACGCAGAATGCATGCTAATACCAAGAGTACGTGAAAACCAGAGTGTGCAGCTTGGGGCTTTTTCTACTATGGGTGTCTGTCACGGCGGAATTCCGTGACTACATCATATTTGGCGCAGATCTGAGGCGGGAAGTGGCGTAGAGCGTACAACTGAGCTGCAGTTGTGCAGAAAGAGACCTGCTTGAATCCTGCTTGTACGCACTGCATCACTAGAATGATGTAATCACGGAGTTCTGCCGTGACAGCGACCCATCCGAGCTGCGCACTCTGGTTTTCATGTACTCTTGCTAATAGTGATGCTAGTGTTAATGCCAATGATACCTCGATCGGAGGTCCCTGGTTCGAGTACCTCGATCGGAGGTCCCTGGTTCGATTAGTGCGGAGGTCCCTGGTTCGAGTACCTCGATCGGAGGTCCCTGGTTCGATTAGCGCGGAGGTCCCTGGTTCGAGTACCTCGAGCGGAGGTCCCTGGTTCGATTAGAGCGGAGGTCCCTGGTTCGATTCCTGGTGGTGACAGTCGTATTTTACTATTCAGACTTTTCCCCGTTTGCATCTTTCACTCAAACCAACGGACAATGACAATGCTAACGATAACGCCAGTGCTTGCTTACAAACGGCGCTGTGCCTTGGACAGGGAGCGATTCCTGGGCAGCGTGGCCGGCCAGGAGACCTGCACTATGCTGGCGCTGTGTGGAGCCTTGGGATCTCTCTCATTCTCCAGTGCTAGGCCAATGTTGGGTATAGTGCGGGCTGCGCCAAAATCAGCCACCTTCAGAATCTACGCCGCAGACAAGAACACCAGCAAAAAAAAAACAATTCTTAGACTGGAATAGAACATTCCCAACTATTCCCAACTATATTTACAATGAATTGAAAATATGGCCGAAAGCTCTGTTGCAATATTTAGTTCTGGAATAGAACATGCATGTAAAGTGCAACCTGTCTATAGACGACCGCTCAAGGGATCTCCAAAGCGTGGTCTCTGTTACCAGGTGGTCTCCTTATCCAGGGTCATTCGACTGGGATTACCTTAGCATCCCTTGGTCCTGGCTGCGGTGGTCTTTTGGGACAGGTGGTTTGCCTTGACAGCCTATACTGTAACGAGTGAAAGCTACTAGGTAAATCGCCCAATATGCACGTCACAATTGATAGTCGATTTCACGCTCGTTAATTAATATCTGCATTGATCTGTCGTGAACATTAGACAGTTAACAGTGCACTGTAGTTCAGTACAGTAGAGTACTGTAAATATACAAATTTTCGGCAGCTATTTAATTTCGGGCTATATTCGGCACCGACCGAAAACGCCTAAATTAAAACGCCGATGAAATTTTTCACAGCATCTGTCGCACAATACCATGCCCTCTACCCCACGCCGAAAATACATCGCCGCCGAAATGTCAAAAATCGTGAAGTGCCAAAATTTTGCAGCGCCGACATTTTGTATATTTACAGTATAGCCCAGTGTAGAGCTGACGTACTACCGGTCGGAGTAGTAATCCCCGCATTCAATGTACACTGGTACTGTACTCACGAAGTGCGTGCGTGTACCAGTCATGTGACCTTGGATACACAGTACATGCATCTGTACCTGGATTATACAGTACAGCTGTCATGTCCCAAAGAGTTTCACTGTTCATTGTCCAAGTACAGTACAGTCATGCACAACCTCGGATAAGGTGACCACCTGGCCCAGGAGACCACTGCAGCCAGGACCAGGGGATGCTATCTCCAGTCAAATGACCCTCCTGGCTCGCCGGAACCCGTCCAGTTGGTGAGGTCATCACCGGACTAACTTGTTAGCCACCACCAACACAATAGTCATGTTTACTGCTGAGGAGGTTGTGTATACCCGCTATAACTTTGTCACTTTGAGATACACATGCTTGTACCAGCCAGCCAGACAACAGCTATATCATACACAAACTGTATGAAAGATTATGGTATGACCGGACCAACGTGTTAGCCACCAACATGGCATGTTTACTGCTGAGGAGGTTGCGTGTACCCTCTATATCATACACAATCTGTACGAAATATTATGGTATGACCGGACCAATCTAAAACTGCTTCCGGCGATCCTGCCCTGGATAAGGAGATCACCACCTGGGTACAAGGGCCACTCTTTGAAGGACCCTTGAGAGGTCGTCTTAGAGAGGTTACACGGCACAGTGAGTGCTGCTCAATGAAATCCTGTCGAGTCACTCAGTTGCGTAGCGCATCCCTAGACCTGCGAACCATGGGGCCCGCGAAACTGGTGCAAGGCGCAAACTTGAGCGACGAGACTGGATGTCATTCAGCTGCACTGTGCATGCATAATAATTAGTGCTGAGTCGGGTAGCATTTTCTTCGGGTATCGGGTTCGGATAATTTTCCACGGGTAGAACGGGTACCCGATCGGGTAATGTTTTCATGGTAACACCACAATGCACCCTTCCTTTACACACTGGGTGGACATGCGGAGTATTACATCAATTATTTGTACACGTGCACTGTACCTGAGGTCTTCTGCGACTTCGGGTTTGCGGGCACTATTCTCTACCCGTCTACCCGAGGTCCTCACGGGTAGCACGGGTACCCGACTACCCGTGCACACCACTAATAATAAAAAATAATGTGCAGTGACTCACTGGACACGCGCTGTGCGCATCTTATATTTTATTTTTAGTTGTGCTTACCCATCGTTCGCTGATTACGAGATTCGCACTCTTGAGGTCACGATGGATTCTCGGCGGCTTCAAGCTGTGAAGGAAACGCATGCCACGCGCCGCGTCTAGTGCGAACCGCAGTCGCTGAACGTGGTCTACGTGAATCTGCTCCAGGAAAATGGTGCATGTGTGTGTGCATGAGATCGAGAGGGAGACAGACACACAGAGAGAGAAAGAGAGAGAGAGAGAGAGAGAGAGAGAGAGAGAGAGAGAGAGAGAGAGAGAGAGAGAGAGAGAGAGAGAGAGAGAGAGAGAGAGAGAGAGAGAGAGAGAGAGAGAGAGAGAGAGAGAGAGAGAGAGAGAGAGAGAGAGAGAGAGAGAGAGAGAGAGAGAGAGAGAGAGAGAGCACAACCGAGAAACACCCAAAGACCGTGAGGATGAGTACTGTAGAGTGTACACGGAGGGTGGCAAAAGCAGTAGTAGCTGCCAAGCAGATAAGTTCACAAGAGAAAACGGTGACATTGCATACAGGGTACACGAGCCTACCTCCCTCCCCCCCCCCCCCCCCACCTACACACACACACACACACACACACACACACACACACACACACACGTACACACACTGTTGATGTTCATGTGACAAAGAGACTCCGTAATAGATCCTTGATGTACGTTATGGTACTGTATGGCTGATGTGGTATTCTTTGTTTTTTTTAATACTTCACCAAGCAAACAGGCAAGGATGTCTTCTCATCAGCCAACGCCTGGCTCTCACAGGATGATGATACAATAGACATGACTGTTAGTGCTAACACTATACCTCTTGTCGGGCAAGAATGCTGTAGAGCGTTCCGCGCTGCATGTACTCCAGGACCAGGAATGGCAGGTCGGAGCCCTTCTCCGTGCCCGTGCCCAGGAACAGGACGATGTTCGGGTGGCGGATGCGCCGCAGCGTCTCCACCTCGCGCTCGAACTCCTGCTGCAGGCTGGCGTCGTGCAGATGACGGTGCAGCTTCTTCACGGCCACCTGCATGTCGCGGTACTCGGCCAGCCACACCTCGCCGAAGCCGCCCGGCGAGTCGGTGTCGATGCGCTTCTTCAGCACTATCTCGTCGGAGCTGTGAATGGGCAGACGTGTGCGCGCACGGTAGGGTGCGGAGGACACGTGAGCGTCCATGTATTCGGGAATGCACACAGACACACGGAAGTGCACAAACACGCATGCACACACGCATGCATAGGCACAGGCACATGGACGCATGCGCTCACAAACACAGACACACAGAAAGACAGTAAGAAATGACAGACAGATAGACAGACAGACAGACAAACACATACACACAGATACCCCCCCCCCCCCCACACACACACACACATATGCACATATGCGCACACACACACACACACACACACACACACACACACACACACACACACACACACAAGTGTATAGGCACGACCACACAGTCAGCGCAGATTGGAAGCACCTATGATCCTCAAAACACACAGGACCATGCAGATGCGGCACACAGACAATACAATCATGCCTTACACCGGCAAAGTCTGGTACAGGGATGTAGGACAGGGGCAGGGGCAGGGAAAGGGGCAGGGGCAGGAGCAGGGGCAGGTATAGGGATAGGGGCAGGTACAGAGATGTGGGACAGGGGCAGGGAAAGGGGCAGGTATAGGTTCAGGGATAGGAGTAGGGGCAGGTAAAGGGGCAGGGACAGGGGCAGGGGCACGTACAGGGATAAGGGCAGGTACAGGGATAGGGAACGAGTGTGTGTGGGGGGGGGGGGGGGCGTTCAACAGCATCACAGCACACACTGGTTCAGGGATTCTGCAGTACTTCAGTACCTGTGTTGAAGACCGCCATCATTATTAAGAGCTGCACATACCGTATTTTACCGGTTATAAGTCAACCTTTTAATGACCTAAAAAGGGGAAGTCGACTTACAACCGGGGTATAACTGCCCTTCAACCGGTAAATCGAGGCCCCAAGTCTGGAGGTCGACTTATAAGTGGTAAAATACGGTGCCTAGACTAAGGCCCTCTGCAGGCCACTTACATAGACTAAGGTCCTCTGCAGACAACATACGTAGACTAAGGCTGCAACCACACTAGGTACAAAACTGCGTAAACGCAACTTTTCTGCTTATGTCGTCAAGGAAACGCGTGCGAAACGCAAAACGTACTGCGTTTCGTTTCAGTAAATCGGGTACCCCTGTAGAAAGCAACTTTTCGCCTTTTCCTTGCGTTTCGCTCGGTTCTTCATACGGGTAGATGTTTCATAAAATTCTTCTTGAGGCTTGCACTGTGTCAGTAGTAGACGCCTTCCTTGTCAGTTTGTAGTATTTCAGATTTCATCTGCCAGGGCTTTGCTTTCAGTATAATTTCCGGACAGTCCTGTTGCCTGCTGTTGTTAGTTCGAGATGCCGTGCAACTACATTGTATTTCGCTGATAATCACGACCGGAGAAGCTCATGCAGCTTGGGGCACCGTACCAGAAGACGAAGCAGGGCCAGATGATAGCCTGGAGCGGACCATCCGAGAGAGGGAGATGACTGAGGCCTTGAACATGTCTGTCAAGGCGCTCGCGACTCTTTTTCAAACTACTACTACATGTAGTACATACATTTTCACAGCACGATTTTTCTGGGACCCAGAAACGTGGACAAAACGCAAGGATTCCTTGCGCATGAAATGGCAGTGTGGATGCGACTTTGCGTTATCTAAAAGCTGAACGCAAACGCGTACTTGATTTTGTACGTAGTGTGGCTGCAGCCTAAGGCCCTCTGCAGACCACTTACATAGACTAAGGCTCTCTGCAGACCACTTACATAGACTGATGCGTCACAAGGCAAGGTTACCCTTACCCTGCAAAAACGGTTCAAAACACGAAGAGGAGCCAGCGGCACAAGTTCACTTTACCGGGCGGGAAACTAACCATTTGGTTTTAATTCCGAGTTTCAGCACATCAATATCGTCTGATGATTGGCGGCGTGAATAATGCACACAATAATTGTGATCACTTTGATACCCATCACTGGGCTTGGTGGGTGTCTTCCCCGGACAGGGATCGAATGGTAACGAGGCATCACTCCCTTTATTCTATAGTAAGCCAAAGCATTCTTAGGATTCTAACCCATTTAGCGCTAGAGACGTATACAATGCCAAATAAGGAGTGCATAGCCCGGGTGCCATGACCTAACAGACTAGGGCACTTTCGTGAACAATCCTACTAAGAAAGTGAAGATTTTTCTGCCGGTTTGTTCGAACTATCTGCAAAAATCAGATCGTTTCCGAAAGATGGGAACACGCGGCAGCCCTGGGATTGCGCACTGGGCAGAGCTGAGTTGGTATGCATAGGACAGCGGGGCGGCAAGCTGTCATGTACTAGTACATACCTGATCTCCCAGGCGGACGCCAGATCGCTGACCTCCTTGCGGCTGATGCGCAGCTGGCGCGCCTTGGTGCGCTCGGCACGCCGATGCCGGGTGTACTTACGGTAGACGACAATGGAGAGGACCAGCAGGACCTGCAGCAGGATGGCGAAGCAGATGAGCAGGTAGTAGATGGGCAGCAGGCAGTTGTCGCTGGGCACGAAGCCAAACTCGCACGAGCAGCTGGCCACGCCGGTCACCGCCGTCACCGTGCATTCCCCGTTGCCGTGGCAAACGTCCGGCACGCAGCGCGAGCAGTTGCCGATGGCGGTGGCGCCGCGCACGCCCGTCATCGACTGGCCGGCGCACTGCACGCACTCGCGCGCCCCGCTCTCGTCCGTGTACGAGAACTCGTCGCACAGGTGGCAGCTGTCCGAGGAGAAGTTGCCCGTGTAGGATCCCGTCGGGCAGGCCGGCTGCACGTTGAACAGGCCGGCGCCCTGCAGGCTGCCGATCTCCTTCGTCTGTATGCTCCCACCCATGATGTGCAGGTGATCCTCGATCACAAAGCTAGTGTGCAGGAAGACACTGCCCGGCGAGTTGCTAACGGGCAGCTGAAGCCAGTCGCCGGTGTCGATGTCATACACGCCGATCGAGGAGAGCGCGATCTCGCTGTCGTGCTGGCACAGGTTCTCGAAGTAGTAGTACGGCGCCTGCTGCGCCCAGTGGCTGAACGACTGCTTGCTGCAGCCGCCGCTGATCACCAGCTTGTTGCCCAGCAGAGCGGCGTTGTGGAACACGCGGCCGTAGGGCGCGCCGCGCGACAGATCCGTCCACTGCATGCTGGTCAGATTGAGGCGATGGAAACTGGGCAGCAGGTACTTGATCTTGGCGGCGTCCTCCGTGATCCCGCCAAATACGTACATGCTGTCGCCGCTCAGCGTCGCCGAGTGGCCGACCAATCGCGGTGCGTCGCGTCGCCAGTGACTGTGGAACTCGCCTGCGCACGTCTGACGCGACCGCAGCGACCAGGTCAGAACGTCGCTGCGGATCTGGTCCGACGCGCGGTCGAAGCCGCCGAAGATCACCATGCGCTTGCCGGCAAGGTCCATGACGGCTGAGTGGAACAGGCGCTGCCACTGGGCCTTCTCGGGAATGTTGGGTGGCGCGGCCATCGTCCACTCTAGCGACGTGAAGTTGAAGCACCACAGGTCGGCGTGCATCTCCACGATCGGTATCGACGACGTCGGCGGTATGCGCAGGAAGTAGCCGCCGAACAGGAACAGGCTGAGGTTGTCGGAGACGATGGTGAAGCCGCTGCGTTGTGAGGGGGCCGGCACGGGAGCCACGCGTGACCAGGTCTTCTCTGTGTGCTCAAACAACCATATGCTCATACCCAGGTTGCGCACAACCTCGATTGGCGGCTCCCCGTCGACCGTCGTGTAGTTGCCCTGGAAACCGCCGACGATGAATGCCACGATGTTGCCGCGGTAAACCCGCAGGTTGGCGATGACGGTGCTGTACTTTGGCAGGTACTCGGGCGGCGTGCCTAGCTGCACAAATATACCGTTGACCGACGGAGTTGCCGACGTATTCGACGACGTCACAGCCGCCGTTCCCCATGGCGACATCGCCGTGGCGTTGATCTTGGGGCTGCAGGCGGCGCAGCGTGAGAAGGTAAGCTGGAACGGCACGTACAGGAACTCTCCGGTGTCCTGCGACGGGCGCCGCATCAGCAGTGTGATGTCGGTGCCGACCGCCGAGCGCAGGTTGGCCGGGTGCATGCTGAGGTAGGGCACGAGGTCGTAGGGGACGCTCGGCGACACCAGGGACCAGAGCTGCGTGGCTCGGTCGAAGACGTGCAGCAGTGCTTGCCCGCGGTGGATGGGCTCGTCGCTGCAGTCCATTGTGTACACAACGACAATGTCAAGTTCAGGAAGGTATGATGCCGGCGGTGTCACACTCGGACTGTCCTTGTTCGGCGGCAGGGCACAGCGATCGTTCACCGCACCCTTGTACTGCCACACGACCGCGTCCAGGTCAGTCACGTCCAGCTCCCACAGGTCGCGCAGCAGCAAGCTCGGCTCCGCGGTGGTGAAGTTCTCCGACCAGCCGCCGAACATGAGCAGGCGGCCGTCCGTGGTGAACTGCAGCATGGCGTGCACTCGCGGCGAGGGCAGCGGCGACTCCGACGCCACCGTCAGCTGGCTCCAGTTGCCGGGGCTGAGCACGGACTCACACTGCTCCACGCTCAGCAGCCACAGGTCGTTGAGAAAGCGCAGCGGGTACACAATGCCCAGCGCCATGCCACCGAACACAAAGTACTGGCACTCGTGGCTGCTGCTAGTGATGCCGCCGCTGCTGCTGCTGCTGCTGTTCGGTGGCGCTGCGTCGTGCGTCGTCACTGTGCGCCCGACGGCGCTGTGTCGGAACCGGGCCAGGTCGCCGTGGTAGCCGGGCGTCTCCACCGGGTGCCAACGGAAGTCGTTCAGCCGCCACGTGTCGTTGAACAGCACGCCGGAGAAGGTTGCGCCGCCGAACAGGAAGATCGTGTCGATGAAGTCGTCGTCGGGCGGATTGACAATGTGTGCTACCGCCATGCTTGGCCAGATTCTCTTGGGTCCACCGGGCTGATAGGGTAACCCAACTTGAGCAGCATCCGGTATGGGGTCTTCCAGTGTCACCCAGCTGGCTAACTCCCGTTGGTACAGCCAGGAGCGCGAGACCAAGCCAGTTTCCGACACCATGTACAGCAGGACACTCTCCGCTAGCGATCCGTTAGCGGCTGCCTGGAACTGTATGACCGACGCTGACGCGTACAATTGTCCGGCCCCATAACCATCCTGACGATCGTCCAGATCGCCAGGTAGCGTGGCGCTCGTTATCACGCTGTTGCTCCATGCGTTGAATACACTCGTCTCCGTCGGCGTTGATGTGCCGCTGCTCGTTGACTGCACCGGCGCGGCTCTCGCTGATCGACGGGAGTCATCAATGTTCGCTGTTTCCCGATATCCCTCGCCATTCTGACGACTCGCCGCCCTGGCACCGTGCGCTGACACCCATACAGGCGGGTTGCAGGGCGGCAGGCTGCGTCCGTTGGTTCCACCTCCGTACGAGCGTTTTGTCCAGCAGCCGAGCGGAGGATAGTCGTCAGCGTCCGCAGCGGCCGGGTTTTCGGCGTGCACGCCCAAGAAGCCAGCGCCCGCTAGCGTGGTGGAGACGAGCAGCAAAGCACTGCAGTAGAAGCGCGCTGTAGTCCAGTGTGGCATGGCGTAGTCGCAGTTGTTTTTACCGAAGTCCAAGCGGTTGCGAACGGATGGGAGGAGTTTCTACTGACTTGATTTCATTGCAACATTTGCGCAGGAGCTAGAGATGTTCTTGGTAGACCTTGGAAATGGCAAAGATGTGACATGCTATTACAAGGTCGGAGACTCCGTACCATGCGCAAAGGTAGGAGGATATCCCAACTCCCGATGGTCTTCTTGACCAACACTTAGACCTCTGGGATTCTGGAACAAAATCAGTTCTGTGTCGACCTTCGGATTAGTACAAGAACTGCTGGAGATTACTTTGGGCGATGGTACATGTACAGTATGTGGAATGCGAAAATCGTCTTGTTTCATTCTGCCGTTATACATCAGTTGTCAATGCTACTGCTGCGGCGAGTGCTGGCAGCTTCTCTTCATCATGGTCACTCTGACTCAGTGACTGTCCGATCACGTAGCATGGCCGGTCAAAATGCCAGCTCTAGCTCTGCAGAGCGACGCAGTACTTGTACGCCGATGACTGGGTTTGGGCACAAAAACGCACCAGAGACAAAGATTGACAGCGAGGTAGATCAATGGTAGATCACGCGGACGGACTCGGCGCAGTCAAGCATGCCGATGATGGACTTGTAGTGAGGCGCAAGATGCAGGATCACGTCCGGCGAGAAAAGGACAAGGGAGCAACATGGAACACATCATGGCAGGATCTAGGATGCAGTCAGCACTTGTTGTTTTTGCGGGAGCGATCTAGCATGCACTGAGTCAGACCAGGTATGTTCCGCTTCAATTGTCATGCATTTTTAGATGTACAATCATGCACAATCATGTAATACACGATACAGTGTAGATCTACTACAGTACTAGCACTGAATGAAACGAACATTCTGTGTACAGTGACTCTGTATTGGCAAGCATCTTTGGCATTTTAGATGACATGTCAATACAATGTCCCGTGCGTAAGCAATTGCACACTAGATGCCCACTTGGATACTAGTACTACAGTGCATGCGAGTACTCTCGATCTTAGAGGATGTCACTGCGCCATTCTTATCAGCTGCTGTTGCGTGTTGTGCGTCGTTGCGCATTGGGTTAAGTTGTTTACTAGCCCAAAGGCCTGGGTGGTGCGCCACAGCAAGCCCCACCATGCCAACACGATGGATCAACATTGGCTGAACCATAATTGTTTAGAATTCACAGTGACGTAGCTCTATTGCCTGTTGTCTGGCGGCCAGACGACCTTAAGGCTATGTGCCCCTTGTTCCCCTTGTTCCCACCTTCCAACCCGGCAAATATTTAGATTTTGATAAAAACGATTCAAAGACTCTCAATTATTTTGTGGAAGAGAAAAGAACATATGGATACGAGTTAAGAGTAACTCTCCATCACTGTAACATGATACTATATACAGTCAGAAAGTGCAATAACTAGGCACAAAACTGACAGAGTACTGAAACATTCGACGTCCTGACACCTAGCTTCAACACATCTCCATAGCGCTAACCGACAGCCTTCCAACTTGGAAGGTTCAAGGTTATGGAAAAGACCAAAGAGGGGAAGGCAAGCGCAACGAAAACGAGCAAAAGCTACAGTCCCAACGGAACAAAGAATGTCGATTGTTACTGGACGATGACGAGACCAGCACGATATTTGACAAAGCGGTCTAACTACAATTCGATGCTGCTTCGAATTGTAGTTAGACCGCTTTGTCAAATATCGTGCTGGTCTCGTCATCGTCCAGTAACAATCGACATTCTTTGTTCCGTTGGGACTGTAGCTTTTGCTCGTTTTCGTTGCGCTTGCCTTCCCCTCTTTGGTCTTTTCCATAACCTTGAACCTTCCAAGTTGGAAGGCTGTCGGTTAGCGCTACGGAGTTGTGTTGAAGCTAGGTGTCAGGACGTCGAATGTTTCAGTACTCTGTCAGTTTTGTGCCTAGCTATTGCACTTTCTGACTGTATATAGTATCATGTTACAGTGATGGAGAGTTACTCTTAACTCGTATCCATATGTCCTTTTCTCTTCCACATTTATTTATGGCTCAACATCCGAGTTTCAAATTATTTTGTAGTATTTTTTAAGAACTTTGAAACTCCACTGTAGCCTTGTCATTATTTTCAGTACACCCAACTCGCAACACACTAACAGTCCTTGGCTACACCACGTACAGTTGAAATTGTCCACACTCCATACTTGACCACACACGCACACATACACATACACATACACACACACACACACACACACACACACACACACACACACACATAACCCCACCCCACCCACACACATCAACTCAACCATGGCTGTTTCACGCCCACTTTGCACTTGATGAAATGCTCACTTACATTGTTATGTCTTAGTGCTAGCTTATAACGTGTTTCAGATTACATGTACATGTAGCAGTGTGAATTATGTGACTGTTCCTGTACTGTCTTATAAAAGCCAACTTTGTATCATTCTTCTCCTATATCCCTGATGATGCCCTCCTGGGTGAAAATTTGGACAATTTCAACTGTACGTGGTGTAGCCAAGGACTGTTAGTGTGTTGCGAGTTGGGTATACTGAAAATACTTGAAGTATAAATATAAAAAGATATACATGTACTTTCACACAAAACAAGCTCGGTGCAGCACTAACCACGGCAGGGGAACCCGACCCTCCACCATTGCCAACTCACGAAGCATGTGAACTGGACTGTGACGGGCCGACCGAGCACCCCAGACACACAATACAGCGGGACGTAGCAGCGCGAAAGACACCCGACAGCGATGTGCCCCTTGTGGTGGTGATGATGATGATGATGATGATGATGATGATGATGATGATGATGATGATGATGATGATGATGATGATGATGATGATGACACCAGGCGGAGTAGGGTGCTGCCTTTGGCCTCAACTTAATATAATGCTATTTGGTTTTTCCCCTTTTATTACTCTGTGTTCATTGCTTGTTTTTGTATTGATTTACTTCCTTGACTGCTTTTGTGTTTCATCATTTTCCGGTTGGTTTTGTGTTGATTTCCCCTGTTCACTTTACATATTGTAATGATATACATTTGCTTTGCCCGTAAAAGAGGCTTTTCTCATGAAAAATGTTTCGTTGTGTTCCATCATCGGTGTAGGTGGACCAAGCAGGTTGGGTGCCGGAGAACGCCCTACCCAAACTCCTGGCCCGTTGGCGAATTAACACGAGGTGCTGGATCAGACCTAGAAGTTGCATTGCATGGTTTCCCGTTTGCCCAAACTGGTAGATCTACGGGATGAGAAGTGAAGGCGCTTGCAATGATTGCCGATAGTGCGTAGTTCGCAGTGGTCATCGCATCCATCAGTTTAGAAAAGAAGGCAAAACGGAACCCGGTGATAGTGGACAGGCCTGCCTGGTTGTTTAGGGCCGATTCCCACTACCAAGAGTACATGAAAACCAGAGTGTGCAGCTTGGCCTTGGGGTCTTTTCTGCTATGGGTGTCTGTCACGGCGAAATTCCGTGATTACATCATATTTGGCCCAGATCTGAGGCGGGAAATGGCGTAGTGCGTACAACTGAGCTGCAGTTGTGCAGAAAGAGACCTGCTTGAATCCTGCTTGTACGCACTACATCACTAAAATGATGTAATCACGGAATTTCGCCGTGACAGCAACCCATCCACTCTGGTTTTCATGTACTCTTGCCACTACGGTACCGTGAGTGCCGTGCCGACGATTTGGGTAGGTCACGTGTACCCCACGGTACGAGCTTGAAGCTGAGAGTGATTTACACCTGCGCACAGTCATTCCGTGCATTCCGTCGGCAGGCCGGATCACCATTTTTTTCAATTTCTGACTTTGGTCCTGAGGGAAAATAGCGGGGGAGATGACTGGAGAAAGCTCAAGAATCAACCAATCGAAAAGCCAAAAGCCAAGAAAAAACTTCGTACCACAAATACAAAAGAAAGAAAAAACTTCCTTTCAGGGAGTAGTAAAATGCCTACTACTCACTGCATTCGACCTCACGGAATACCACGGCATGCCATTTCCACCCCCCAGAGACCCTCGGCACCGGAATGTCCACGGTGCGGTACGGCAGGAGCCACGGAATGAACTCGCGCCAAAACTGCCCCTCACGTGAGCAAATCACCATGGGTACTCACGGCACGGCACTCACGGTACCGTAGTGGGAATCGGCCCTTACAGTATGCAGGTATGTGCATCATATTGTTTTCCCTGCTGTTGAGCAAAGCAGGCAGTAGTAAAATACCAGTATTTTACTATTTTTTACTACTCCGTGTAAAGCTATTCGTCCGCATACTGACTTGATTATTAGCACATGTACCAGAATCACAGTCAGAGCTTGAAGTGTATTGCTAATCACATGGAGGTCAGTGAACTGGCTGAGCGTAACTTAACTGCGTAGACCGGGTTGACAGAGAGGTCAGCCAGCCACACGTAATCATTGATCCAGTTATAGGACAGGACCCGGCTCTGTATGGCCATGTACATTTACCCAACAATCTACACCACGTCAGAGTGGATGACACACGACAAAAGGTCATCCCAGCTATAGATGTAGGTAACGGCCTGAAGCCTATTCCCTACCCTACAAGTGCACACACACACACGCACGCACACACCAGGCTTGGCGGAACCGGTCCAGTTGGTCAGGCCATGGCTGGACCAACTTTTTTGGCTAGCAATGTGTGTGCCAGTTTACCGCTGAGAGGTCATATGCACACTGTATACCCTCTATACACAAACTGTTTGAAAGGCTAGGAGGGTATGGCCGGACCAATCAAAGACTGCTTCCGCCGGTCCTGCGTGACACACACCTCAGACCTGCCCATCGCGGAAGCGATGATAGCGAACAGCTATGTTAGACATAGCAACTTGTGCTGGGATTACACCATTCAACAGCTTGCAACACACACGCACAAACACACTTGTACTTGCTCACTAAAAGCCCAACTGGTCACGCGGGTCTCCCCGGGAGTGGGGATCGGGGGACAGACATTCAAAAGGAATCTTGCAAAGATGACTCAATTGGCTATTGAACCGCCCAACGGCCGACACCCCCTGACCCCACCCCCCCCCCCCCAAACTACGGGTGGACTTGGAAATGATCCCACTTATGGGCTCACCACACCGTAATAATATAAGTGAGTGAGGACAAGGTGCAGACCAGGGAGTGCTAAGAAACTATTACATTTTGTGTTTTTATAATAGTAGTGTATAATAAAAACCCGTTTTTAGTACTCCCTGGAGCAGATGAAAGATTGACGGCATCAGGGTACCCCCCCCCCCCCCCCCCCCCCCACACACACTCCTGCATGTGTACAGTACTGTGCTTAGCCCAGTCACCGATTCAGACCGTGTGCTCGGCATGTATTCATAATTCATACAGCTGCTGCTGCTGGATAAATCACGAAAGGCACTCTCGCCGGAGTTTCACACAGATTCCCTATAGATCTGATCCAAATTTGTGAATCGTGATACCAACATTACACTTGACACCAGACATTAGAGAGGTTCTGCACAACGAAAGTTCGCAAGTTTCGCGTCCAAAGTTGCGAAAGTTCGTGCGAAGTTTCTCACTTTGTGACGTAGAGCAAAAGTTCGTACACATTTTCGTTTTGCAGAACCTCTCTAATATATGCAGAGTTTCGCACTCGACATGTTGAGCCAACAATAATAGTGCATGGAGCTATAGCCAACGTGATAAAAGCCTAAAAAGCAAACCTAGCATTGTGAATACACCGTTGAATACGTACGGCGTGTATAAGAGTCCAGGCGCGTGCGGCGGTGCCCTTCAAGGGGGGTTCCGGGGGGCTGCCCCCCGGGAAATTTTTCAAAAAATGAAGCAATATCCTGCATTTTGAGCGAAAAAAAAAGGGGGGTTCCGGGCACCCAGGAACCCATACGGGGCACGCACCTGAAGATATCAACCCATGCCGACGCTAGATGACACACGCAGGCGCCCGCTTGTCTGCTCGGCAGCGTCCGGGAAAGACTCGAAAACAAAATAGCCCCGGCATGCAGCCTGTAGAGTGCGCTCGCAGATATGACTGTTCACTGTCCGTGAGTGGTCAACATTACAGAGTTGCAGGATCAACACTGCAAAGGCTACTAGTAGAAACAGCACGCTGGCAGCACCGCAGGGATAAAGCTGGACTAGAAATCCAGATGAGGTGCCTGGCTGGCTGCAACAGCTGCAGCTGTCACGAATTCAAGGCAGCGGCCACGCCGCACGGGTGACGCGAACGACCCCGACTCAACACCAAGCTGCTAGGCAACTCTGCACAAAAGAAACAGCTGCAAAGGCACACGGCACAGCAACGAGTCCACACACTACATGCGGACTGGCCGCAGCGACCATGGTAGGTAGCAAAGAACAGGGGATGACACACCATGACTGGCCGCAGAGAACAGGGGGCGACACACCATGACTGGCCTAGGCAAGGAACGGCCATGTCACATAGTGGTCACCGTGATTACGCCGCTGGTCGGTTACTTACAAAAATCACCAAGACTAAAAGGAGGAGAGCACGCAAATACAGCTTCCCATGGTCACGAGAAGTGTAGCCGGCTGGTCTAGTTGTCCATCATGGTCGGGTGAAAGCCGAGCTGCAGGTCGCCAGGATCCTCCTCGCTGTCGTCCTCAAAGGAGCGTGCAATGGACGCCGCCTCCTGCGGGTCCAGTCCGGCCGAGCTGCCGCCGTCGTCCAGCGTGTACACGCCGCGAAGGTCATCGTCGTCGTCGTCATCCACCAGAGACAGTCCGCCACTGCCTGCGGACACCGGGTGGTGATGGCGTGGCGCGGCACCCAGCGTGTCATCCAGCGATCCAGCCAGGCCGACGTCGCTCGCCTCCGCGTCACTGGTGGGATCTACGTCGTGGTGGTCGTCATCGTCGCCGCCGCCGGCAACAACACCCATGCCCTTGTGCAGTTTGATGTGACGCGGCAGTGGCAGTGGTGGCGGTGGCGTGCATGTAGGCTCGTCAAAGCTCATCTCCGACGGTGCACCGGCGCTGACCAGGACATCCGGTGGCGTGTACTCCATGAGCGGAGAGCTAGAGTCGACTAGCGCGGCCGCCGTGCTGCCCAGACCCACACCAATGTTGTCGTCGTCAAAGAGCGGCATGGCCGGCGGTGGTGAAGACGATCCCAGCTCCAGCGGCGGTTCCCGGATGGACGGGGCCAGCGGCGGCGGTGAGGTAATTGACGACGCGACCGATGACGCAATGCTGCTCAGCAGGGGACTTCCCCCGTCGCCGGACGACGAGGTCATGGACATTTTGAGAGGGGTGCCGCTGGCGAGGGCTGACGACAAAGACTTCTTGGCGGACTTGCTGCTGGACGAGGCTGCTCCTTTCCCAGTAGTGTTGCCCTCGTGAGGTGTGGTGCTGCTACTGGAAGGTACGGAGCCTGTCAGCTGATAGGAGCGCAGCTCAGTGGCATATCGCTCCTTGTCCTTCTCGTACATGTCGTAGTACACCTAATGCAGAAAGAAAAAACCACACGTGACAAATGCACAAATCACAGTCAGGACAAAACAATTTGTGTGAATGGCTCATCGACCGTCTCATGGCTGTTGAGGGGCAGTGAAAGCCACCTAGCCCTACACTGCAGTGACTGTCACATTCAACAAGACAATAGCGAGGTTTCGCTTTACGGAATTAAGTATGAAAATAACGTAGGAACTGCACGTAATTTTCATACCTAAAATCAGCGCTGTTGGGTTTCGCTCTGCGTGATTTCTCCCCGGTCTTCTATTTCTCGCCACACAGTTTTACCCCCGTTCTTCCATTTTCTTCTACACAGTTTGAGCACGGTCTTCTATTTTTTCCCACAGTTTAAGCACGGTCTTCTATTTTTAACACAAGAACAAAGACTCATTTAGTAGGCCCGGTCTTCTAATCGGAGACGGTCTTTTATTTTTTCAATCGCCCCCTGCCCCGGCCTTGTATACGAGGAAGGTGTTGTATACGAGGACGGCCTTTTATTTGCGGAAATACGGTACCCCCGACACAAGGCGTGAAGCACAGCAGCAAGCTTTTTCTTACCTTCTTCTCATCAGTGGGCAGTTCGTTCCATTTCTTTGCAATCAACTTGGTGAGCTCATGGTGGCCAGTCACTGCACTGGCGTGGTACTCTTCTTGAATAGCAGTGCGCTGAATCTGAATTTCACAATACATACACACACACACACACACACACACACACACACACACACACACACACACACACACACACACACACACAACTGATTAGACTATTCAGTGCGATAGGGCGAGCGTGCTGGGCAAAGCTAGGCAAAATTCGAGCTGAAATTGCACCCTTCAAGCGTTGGAGATTGCAGGGTACACATACAATCACACGCAAGCTAAAAACAACCAATATCCAAGTGCCTAGGCGCCGAACAGCATTCAGATCGCACACACCAGCACGATCGCATTCATTTTCTCTTAGGACACGTTGCATGCCAGCACCATGCCATGACCCAGTTTCGGAGTACAATCATGTACATGTACAGTAAAGTACAGCCAGAGCGCCCCCGTCTCGCGAGAGCGCTCCACCCTGATTTTACAGCCAGGGAAAAGAAAATCGTATGGCAGAATGCAACGAAGTTTGTACCTCGTGAGAACCTTAGTGTACTTTGGTCACACTAAGCAGGTTTTGTGTGGAGCTTGTGTCCGCTCGATGGTACGGATTGTCTGCAGAACGTGCAATATGTGTACAAAGTTCGTGTCGTATGACCTACAGACAGGGGACCACCTCCACAATACGACCACAAAAGGATGAGATGGTGGGGCGCTCTGGCGGTACGTTATGGTACATGTAAGTATGGTTGGCATCACTGCGTCCTGTACATACCTGACTGTACATGAAGAAGGCGTTGCTTGGCTTCTTGGGAGCGTTGGGGTCTGGCTTGGGCTTGCTCTGGCTACCACCCGCTCCTGATTTGCCCGAGGACGTGACCTGGGGCGAGCCGGCAGCACCGGACCCCGGTGAGTGCTTAGATCCCTTCTTACCGCCGCCACCACCACCACCGCCGGGTGTTGTGCCCATACCATGCATAGGCGTGCGGAGCTCATCCAGTGAACCCCTGTAGCAATACAGAGAGAGAGAGAGAGAGAGAGAGAGAGAGAGAGAGAGAGAGAGAGAGAGAGAGAGAGAGAGAGAGAGAGAGAGAGAGAGAGAGAGAGAGAGAGAGAGAGAGAGAGAGAGAGAGACACACACACACACACACACACATTCATCATATACAATTTAGCGGCTCTAAGTTTCACGGCTTTCAGGATCACCACGCATAGACATGTAGAGAGCCTCTTTACATCATCATCTGAACTGCTTTGTACGGAGTGATATCACCAACACTGGTTTGCCATTCCATACAAACATACACAATGATGGCATCCACATACAATCATGATGATGTCATTCACTCCATACAACGCCTATAAAACGATGTCATTTAGCATAACAGCTGTTGTGCGCAAAACAAAGACCAGCACAAAAGGCAGTGCATGGGGGGGGGGGGGGGAGGTCTCTGAAACCAGACGGCTGTCTACATACAGTAAAAAAGCAGGCCGGCAACCCGTCATCCAAAATTTAAACTGCTAACAGTGCAACTACTGTAAAAGCAGAAAATTTCGGTGGTGTTTTATTTTCGGTAACTTCGGTGCCGACAATTTTTACCGAAAATAAAACGCACCGAAAATTTCGGTACTACCGGTACTGTATACATTTAGTACTAGTACACTTACCTGGAAAACGGGTTTTACCGAAAATTTCCCTCCACCGAACCGCCGGTTTTGGAGAATACCGAAAATATTACACCACCGAAAATTTCTGTTTTTACAGTACCACGCAAAGAAGGCACACAACTTACTTTCCGCCCTTTCGACCCGGCCCATTCATCGCGCTTGGCGACGCCGGCGCTCCACTTTCACCAACTGACTGTCGACCTGAATTAGTGTCGCGGATATGCACAAGATTGCACAACAAGCAGCCAGCAGACAAACATAGGCATACACAAGGAGATTATTCCCAAAGACTGTTCAAATTCTACATCAAACACACCTCGAAGGTGACCCAAGGGCATACCCAGTTACTTCGACTGGCATGCCGAAAGTAAACCGGAAACATACTCGTACACAAAGCAGAGAAAAAAAAAGGGAACGAAGGCGAGACAATGCTACAGGCATGCTATGCATGAAAAGCAAAAGCGGATCGGGGGTGTGGTGGGGGTGTAAAGAGTACTAAAGACGCCACCAGCATGCCGCGCAAACACCACCTACCTGGACCGCCACGCACGGACGGGAAACCAATAACATTCTCAGCGTCCGCGGTTGCCCCGGTGTGGCTGCCAGCAATTGATGTGATGCTTGTGATTGCACTCTCCTGGACAACAAGACATTGTAAAAGAACAAGACATTTTAAAAGAACAAAAAGAAGACGGTGTAAAAGAGAAAGAGACCAAGCAGACGTAATGGGCGCCTTGGATCGCCAGACCACTGGTCGGGGGAGCGCACTTCGCCTCACCTGAACAGCTACATAGCACCTAAACACACTTTGTTGTCCAATAAAGTATGTTCCTATGTTGTTGTTCGCCATTACAGTCATGACCAAAGAAATCCAACCAGCGAGTCAAAAGCAGCGCTATGTTTCCATTTCAATTACATCATGCACGGTGCAAAAACCCATTCAAGGGCTGCAGGGGCCGCGTGAGCCTTGGTGCTGCTTTCGGCTCATAGATCGGATTTTTTACAACTGTCTGTAGGCACGTGTACTTTTAGAGGGAAAAAAAAGAAAAGAAAAAAGGCATGCTTATTTCACACAATTTCACAAGGAACGTGCACTTTGCATCAGACAGAGTGTGGCGGGAGAAGAAAAATAAGAAGAAAAAAAAGAAATCCATCTCGCAGTGAACAGGATTCGAACCTGTGCGGGCAGAGCCCAATTGATTTCTAGTCAATCGCCTTAACCACTCGGCCACCACTGCTTTGATGGAATTGTTGAGAGTGAAACCAAATCTCATTCAAAAGACTGGCTTTCGGAGAGAGGAAATTATGACTACGGTAAACCGGGATTCATTCATGTTGGTTTTAGCTCGCGATATGCGTACACAGACCAATTGGCACTGGGGAAATATTTGCGATTGGAGTCGATTTCACCAGTTATATTAGTACAGTTCGAGGTTTCGTGCCGGTGTACTTTTGTGATTTCATACCCAACGCAAAATAGCGAATGATTCCAGATCATAAAAGTTACCCGGCTGCCTCGCGGCCGAAGCCAAGAGTACGAGGTGAATTGCTATTTCTGGACATTGGACATTTCTGGACATTTCGAGTAAAATAATTTTTCGTCGCGTGTAGAGTCAAGTCAGTCAGGTTGATGAAGTTTTTTCTTGTTGTAGTTGACAGCTGGGCTGTTGTAGTTTCTCCTCGTGTCGGTGCCTTGTTGATAGCCTTTTCGTGGGAGGCATTTCAACGAGTTTTGTGGTACTATGTCGCCTGAGAATTTTGAATTTTGAGTAAAATAAGAAGTAATGGACGAATCGTTGGCTTCCCCGTGTGCACTCCACTTCAGACGCTGTAAAGTCTTGGACCTGTTGGCTGGAAGTGTGAAGAGGCCAACTGCAGTCCACCAATAGAAAAAATAACAAAAATGGTGCAGTATAGGATGCCTATTGACGCTATTTTACTTTCATGTCCAGAATTCCATACACTGAAATTTAGGCCAAAAAATTGGCCTGTCGAAAACATCCTGCTATTAAGTCTCTGGGATCACAGCATGAGCAATTGTCACATATTTGGAAAGATGAAGGATTAAGCCATTCAATAGATACAAATAGATATGAAAAAAGTAAAACACACAGCCAGTGGGCCTCTATTTTATTTTCATGTCCAGAAATTGCTATTCACCTCGTACATAACCCCCAACAAATTGTAGTTGTCTCTGAAACGAACATCGCTCGTTTCGGGGGGGGGGGGGGGCACAAGTCGACCGGCTACGCCTCGACCTGGGGTTGGTGTGCAGTGTTCTCGAGCACACATACAAGGGGCGATCAGAAGGTTTCCGGCCCGACGATGGAGTTCTTGGAGCAACTCAATTTTGATTCGGGGCCTTCTTCTATTCCATGGTGCTCCCTGTAGATGTATGACAAGTTGATACAGCTGGAGCAGCTGGAGCAGTTGGTGCGTGGTGAAGCACCGACTCCGGTGGTAACCGGTGAAGCTCGCGACTTGATCATGAAAGTTTCCGGCCCGACCCAACAAAAAAAAAAACAGCAATATCACCAGTTTCTTACTTTTATTTTTCAATATAATCACCCTGCTCATGAATGCACTTCGCCGAACAATGCTCTTGGGCATGTTCGATTGGTAGGATCGGGATCCCGATCCACCGGATCCACTGGATTCGCACCCTTTTGATTGGTCGAATCCGGATCCGGATCCTTCGGATTTGGATCCGGTCAACCCACCTCGGGGAGCAGGTTTGACCGGATCCTTCGGATTTGGATCCGGTCAACCCACCTCGGGGAGCAGGTTTGACCGGATCCAACTGTGACCTTTGCGCGTATATGGCGGGTAAAAATCATTTTTGTACACATTGTGGTACGCACACGTGGATGGAGATAGAGCTTGTTGACTTTTTGTACGACGCACGCGATGAGTACGACGTTCACCCTTTTGGGTACTGGTGAGCGCCATTGTCAACATGGCAACAGTCAAGGTCCAAAAAAAGTGTTCAGTTGAATCTGAAGGATCCGACGGATCTGAGATCTGGATCCCGATCCTTACCAATCGAACATGCCGCTAGTCTCATCAATCCACCTCTCGTAACAAAAAAGATAAAAAAATCCTGCCAGGCGTATTTCAGAATCGAACAAACTCGTTTCTGTTACGTGCACAGCAGCCGCATAACATGCAAGCACGCCACACCATCACGAACGCAAGTGGCCTCCTTCCTGCAATCTTTCGATCGATATCAGTCCCAGTCATACATGTATTTCCAGCCAGGGGGCATCATCAAGATCCAGAGTTGACTGAGATTGAAATCGTACAGATATGCGGCAAATAGACCGCTTGCGTTCGCGATGGTGTACGGTTTTCCCAGGCAATAAAACCCGTCAACTATCGACAAGGCATAGTCCGGTGATCGTGCTATATGACCTAAAGCTATTTCCTGCTGAAGAAACCAATCCGCGTCAAGCTCATTGAACATTCCTCAGTTCCACAATCACACTCACCACATAAGTGGGTATATTTGTTACAAAATTCTTGAACACCATACTAAACGGTCCATGTGCTACGAATCGCATTTTACACTCAGATTTAAATTCACGGACACGGCCCATCTTGAAGATGTTCCTCTGTAAAGCAACCAGCCTCTCCTTTACCTGTATGGACTTAGCCGCTTCTCTATAACCATCTTCATATTGATCCAGCTTCTCCATAAGAATACTGGGTGGAGTACAAGGAGCACAGAACACACAGTAACAATAGTCAGCGCTGGACATACAGGGGACACACAATGATAATATCAAGCCCAAATCACGGGCGTCAGGAGGTATTTTAGTGTGATATGGTCAGCTACCTGAAGTACAATTTACTCGTGGGGGTGGGGGGGG